TCCTCGAGAGCCTGACGAAGCTGATCTTCGGTATATTGAGGCATTATATATAGAAGAAGACATGTGCAAAAGATGAGCCCATTTGGACGCGAATTGAAAATGTTGTGATAAAAGGAGGTTGGGGGTGGGCATTGGGTTGTGGTGGATTTTCGCGTTTTTGTGGGTGCCAGAAACAGGGGGGTGCCAGGAAGTGGGTATGTTGACTTATTATGAATTACCTCGACAGGTCAGCAAGCTGCGTGCGCCGGATAAGTCGACTTTCAGACTAATGATTCCACAGAAATGCCATCGGCTCGGCAAGGCTGGGCGGTTTGGAGAAAGACTTGGGTCTGACTGGCAATGAATTTCAGGTAAGCTGAAACTCAAGCAACTGATGAACTTCAAACCCAGAGGCTTGTAGCTAATTCCGTAATTACCCTAGACTTGTGTTTCGATTCTTTTTGTGGGGTACATCCTGATGCAGGTACCTTCAAACATGTTCCTGAACAAGATCGGACGTCCTGCGATCTATCTGACGGGATGCATGTGCGTTTGGGTTAGTCTGATTCGAAGTTTCTTCTTTCTTTGTCGCGTTCGGGATCGACCGGTTGGATCTCACTGCCGCGTTGGTTAGCGAGCCCATGGCCGCATAGCGTGGGTGTAACGTGACGCATCACTTACAACACCGGTTGCTGGAATTTCTTCATTCGGATCTCGGTTTGTGTAACCATCCTTCAACAGAGCATCATGCTGATGATCATGCAAACTACCAGGGCGTGTTATGTGCCTGCAGCGGCGCAACACATAGCTTTGGCGGACTGGTGGCAACTCGATTCTTTCTTGGGTTTGTTGAAGCAGCCTTTTATCCAGGTGAGTAAAGATTGGTACCTTGTCCGTATAAGAATACTGCAGAGAAAGAAAATCCTAACGAACGTGTGGTATTAGGCTGCCTCGCAACTCTCAGCTCATGGTACATTCGTAAAGAACTTGGCGTCCGTACCGGACTATTCTACAGCGGCTCCATGCTTTCGGGGGCTTTCTCGGGTCTAATCGCAGCCGGCATCACGAACGGCATGGACGGCGCCCGCGGCCTGCTAGCCTGGCGTTGGCTCTTCATCATCGAGGGATCGCTTACCGTCGCTATTGCCCTCGGCGCGTTCTTCGTGCTGCCAGACTTCCCAGCCAATACCAAGTGGCTGACAGACCAAGAACGACAGCTGGCCATGTGGCGCATGGAAGTCGACGCCGCGGGCGAGGAGGATTGGACGAGCTCATCATCGCAGCCCATCTTTGACGGCTTCAAGATGATCATGGTTGATCCTATCAACTGGATTCTTGTCGTACTTGTCTACGGCGCCGCGTCCTCGATTTCGATTAATAGCTTCTTCCCCACCGTCGTTGCGAGTCTCGGAAAGGATCGCATCACAACGCTGCTTCTTACTTCGCCGCCTTACCTCCTGGCATGCATCGTTTGCGCGGCAGTATCTTGGAACGCCGACCGTATGAACGAGAGGTACTGGCACACCGTCGCCCCGCTGGCTTGCTCGCTCGTCGGATTCATCATCTCCAGCGCCGCGACAGGCATTGGACCCCGATACTTTGGCGCCATGATCATGCTTCCTGGGATCTATACTGGCTTTAATATGTCCATGGTCTGGACTGCTAACACGATCTATCGACCTACGGCGAAGCGCGCCGCTGCGGTGGCGTTTAACAACGCGTTTTCTACGCTCTCAGGCATCTACGGATCTTACTTGTACCCCAACAACGCGACACCAAGGTTCGTCTTAGCTTTCAGTGTGAATGCTGCGATGGCATTGATGGCGATTGTTGCTGCCACTGTGTTGCACTTTGTTCTGAAGAGAGAGAACAAGAAGTTGGAGATGAGGGAGCAAGAAGCTGAGGCTGCTGGGCAGGCGCAACTCATTGGAAAGGGTTTCAGATATCTTATTTGAAGGTAGAATGCTGGAATGGATTTACGAAGAAAAGTTTTCTCATTTAATATACTCGTACATCCTTGACTAACTATTAGATCTTCTCTTTCCTCTTGGTATCCAACCCGTAGTCTCGCGCAATTTTTTCTGCGGCCAGTTGCCCAATAACATAGGCGACGATCTGAGGATCTAGAAGCACTTGTCAGCAATGAAATACACGAAGCTATTGAACGCGACGTAAAAGGTGAGCTTGTAGCAAACTTACGACCACTGTTGAACTTTTATCAGCAACTATCTTGTATCACTTTAAAGAAGATGAGAAACGTACCTGGGTAGTATAGTTGTCACACTTAGATCCGCAACCCGCAAGCCGTTCAAGCCGTGAACTCGAAGGTCTCCGTTGACACAGCTGCCATCTCGCTCGCTCTTACCCATCTTCACGCTGCAAGATGGATGCCATAGTCCCGCCACGTTCTCTTGGATGAAGTCCTGGAAGCTCAGTCAGCGCTATACTGAGAAAATTGCAACTACCCCTAATTGCTGAGATAAGCTTCAAACTCACATCAATATCCTTGTCGCTCTCCGACTTTGGTGCAAATATCGGCCTGACGAAATGGTCTTTCATTGTGCTGGTCTTGAGGAGATTGAGTCCTTCTCTTAGCGCTTCTCGCAGGTTTACCAAATCGAAGGGGTTGCTGAGATACTTCGGGTCAATCAGAGGGGGGTCCGCAGGGTCGGCTGAAGCCAATTTGATTGTTCCTCGAGAGATAGAGTTCATGTTTGCAACGAATACCGAAAAGAATCCGTCGCTAGACTTTTCGAAGACATGATCAGGAGGAATCAAGGGTCCAATCTGTAGGTTGACTTTAGTTGAGGGTCATGCTCTTCAGCCCTAGTACAACTTACGACAAGCTCATAGCTAGGGACACCTTCCTCGAGCAGATAGCCTTTCACATCAGCGGGAAGTTTCTTGAATTCAGGCGACTCATAAGCCCGGTCATTCTTGAGGAAAGCATGCGGAACAGACGAGAAATGTCCCAAAAGCGGTCCGTTCCCACTTTCTGCGAGTTGCTTCACGGCCTCCTCGTACTTGCTTGGGTCAGAGAGCCCCATCCTATCAGTGAAGCCGGACTTCATCTGAAAGCAAGTCACAATCATGGGGTGGTCTGTAAAGGACTTCCCCACACCATTGAGGTTCTTGACGACGGTGATTCCGAGGGCACCCAGGTCTGCTTGAGGTCCGATACCTGAAAGTAGCAGTAGACGGGGACTGTCAAGGGCGCCGGCTGATAGAATGACTTCGTTCTTCGCTCGAACTGAAGTTCCAGGGTCAGTGAATTGCCAGGTATCAACTGGGCTTTTACGCAAGCTTACCCTGCGAACCATCTTCCTTCAGAACACCCACAGCACGATCCTTCTCAAAGATGATTTTGACCACACGACTCTCGGTCAGAACGGTCAAATTTGCTGGAACATTCTTCTCGAGGAATGCAGATGCACCGGTTACTCGGACACCATTCAGACTAGTTGTCGAGTTCAGCGAGAAACCAATTGGGTCACCATCGTTGGGGTCAAGGTTGCGCTTGTGCTATCACGGGGTCAGCATCACTGTCCACTACCTCACTCATTGTCGTCTGGCTTGTCAATCAACCCACCCCGAGATCAACTCCAGCGTCGATAAAGGACTTTGTTTCTCGTTCCACGTGTCCGATGGAGACGTCGATGGGCCTGATTAATGTCAGAAAAGTGGATCACTGCAATGAAAAGTGACTTGTTACCCAGAGAAACCGTGATACTTCGGATCGGGCTTCACATATTCAGCCCACTCCTTCGAAAGATCATCAAGGTGGAGGTTTTCCAGCTTTTCGAAGTCAGCTCGAGACCAAGATAAGGTGAAATCTCTCTTCAGAACTGGTTTCGACTTACCTTCCTAACCCTCTCAATGACGGATTCAAATCCCCAAGCATCATCACCTGCAGCCGCAGCCCAGGCATCGAACTCCGCGCGCGCGCCAAGTGACCAAACCTGGAAGTTGGTAGCACTCGACCCTCCTAGACCCTTGCCACGAGCCTGCGGCACCTCGCGATTTTTCGCATGCTCCTGCGGCGTCGAGGCATAGCCGTAGTCGAGACCCGGCTGTGCAATGGTGCTGAATCTTTCAGCCGTACGCCTATACTCGGGTTTGCTGATGTCACCGCCACCTTCTAACAACGCAACACTGGGCTTCGATGCCGTGTTTGCGAGGCGGGAGGCAAGAAGGCACCCCGCTGTGCCGCCTGATCGTCGTTTGTTGTTGTTAGTGCGGTTTCTCCTCTCGTGAGGGGTTCGTTGTGATATCCGAGGATGGAGAGGCGTGACCCCTCACGGCAACCTTGTCTCCAGGAACGTTAAACTTACCACCGACGACTATGAAGTCGAATTCTTGTGTCATGATTGAAATTTGACGGTGATTGAGAAAAGGTTTGATACAAAGTTGGGTTGCGTCGGGCGCTATTTGAGTCAAAGTTCACATCTACCAGCTTGCTTTTTTATACTCCAGCGAGCTGAGAAAGTGTCTCTCGTTTATACACACAAGCCACCTGACCTCCGCACCTAAGACTCTAGGCTGAGAGATCATCTCTCTAGCGGCGAAACTATCGGCAAATGTGCGCGGCATCGCATTGTTTTCCCCTGGTTTCCATCTAGCCTTACGTGGGGTCGCGGGGCAGTCTGCAGCGCTTTGGACAGCCCGCGAAGGAAGGTTGAGTTGTATTGGTGATCCTCGCACGTCCAACGCGAGGTTGGCATTTCGCCCGATGCGATGCAACTCTGACACTACGACTCTGAGGCGTGCTGATGTAACTCAAGTTCGCAATATCGAAGAGCTCGTTGGCCAAGGTGAAGGGGTCTACTTTTCCGACAGCATTTGGGACTTGTGAGGATGGCATTCCCCAAATCATCTGTGACTATTTCTTAGGTACCTATGTGGGTTGCATTGCACAATCGTAACCGAATGAAGCGGCTCGACAACTCAGCAGCTTTTGTATTATCGAGCCACACTGTTCAGTGAGGTGAAGCAAAAAACAAAGATGAGTAGAAGAATGTATTGACAGTGTCTAAACAAGATATTTGATACCCAAAATCTAAACGCCAGTGAGCCAATGTCCTTGGCTATGCAACCCACGCTATGCCCCTCCAAATGAACTTCAATGCCTACGCTGAAATGCTGACTACCTGTCATGCTCCATACAACAATGCATTTTTACAATTGCCATCCCAATCACAGCCCATCAATCGTCACGAGTCTAGTTCTGGGGCGCGCCAAAGATCTCGTTGAGGTCGCGCTTCGCGTTGCGCTTGATGCCGCACTTGTTCAAGCAGGCATCGATGCCGAGAGCAATGTTGGCAGGGATGTGCTTACGGAAGCTCTCAAGATCGGCACCGTCAATTGTCTGCACGCCGCCGAGGGTGGCAGAGACGACATCCGGGCGGAGGTTGAAGAAAGCTTGAGCAACCTGCTCGACACCGGGGTCGACGTTGTTGAAGCCGGCAACGAAGACGGCATCCTCGCAGTCGGGGTTGAACTCCTGGTGGATCGCGCCCTGGGGGAAGACGGACATTTGGTACGTCTCCATGGTGTTGGCGATGGGGTCGAGGCCGTTCTCGACGACAAAGTTGGTGACAAGGCGGCCCTTGACGATCACATTGAGCTCGGTGGCGCGGTTGTGGACGTGGGCCGTGTTCATGCCGCAGGGGCCGAGGAAGCCGAGGGTCATGGCGGCGCCGTTGCCGATGAGGGCCGGGAAGGTCTTTGCCGTGGCGGAGGTGGAGAATCCACCCTTGCCGCGGGACTCGGAGCCCTCGGGGGCGCCGGAGTCGTTGAAGTCGAAGACGAAGTCGCCGGGTTGGTTGAGGAGGCGGACGCGCTCTTGCTGGGTGGGTGCGGTCATCAGCTTTGTGATGAGGTCTGCGTTGCCGGCACGGGTGTTGACGGGGACGATGGGGGGAAGGACATTGTCGATGGAGCTGTTGTCGGTTTGGGTGGAGATGGTGGCGGAGGAGGAGGGGTGGTTCGGGTTGGTGGTCGGCGCGGCCAGAGCAGCGGCGGAGAAGAGGATGGAAGAGAGAATGGTGGAGGTGTACATCTTGACTACTTTATGTGTTTTGTTGCTGTTGGAATGACAGACAGGATATCCGAGCTGACAAATGAGACAAGGAAAAGAGAAATAGGAAAGATGAAAACCGGAAAGCGAACTCGTTGCTTGTTGATGCTGTGATGTGTGTGATGATGAGAGGAAAGAGAAATGAAGAGGCGTTCGATGAGGCTATTATATAACATGATCGCGACACAAAAGGATTGCAATCTTGTGTACTTCATCAAGTGGCCGCAGATGAGCGTCAGCCTCATTCAATCCAACAAGCACACATCTGGGGTATAGGTTGGTAATTCCTATGATATGGGGCACAGCATCCTTCTGCTGATGGCTTTGGAATCAAACCAACATAGGCTACAACAAGACATCACTCATTGTCCCGATGGATGCAAAATGTCAGCTTAGTTGTTGCCTCGTTACTGAATCTGGCCTCATGCTGCTGACCAGCAATCTCAACAACCTGGCCACGAGTCCAGAATATTGCAGTCTTGGGATGGCAGCTGCATGTTTGTGCTGACGGTCCCAGGGCTGACGTCGGCGGTGCACGGTAGGCGTGCCAGTCTCTTGGGTCCCTTCTGGGAAACAAACAGCGAAACATGGTGGGGAGGGGCGGGAGTCTGTTCGTCCGGAGGAGTGTTGTCAGCATTTAGTCGTTGGTTGGAGCTGCCAAGTAGGGCTGTGGGATTTGGGCGGTCTATGTTTAACTGTTTGCTTTTTTATCCTCCCGTCCCACGTGGTACTTTTCAGTCGATTTGCTTCTAGTCTTGCAGACTGGTCGGTGTTTCTCAGCCATGTTCGGTGGTCGTCACGATCGGTCGAGTACTTGAGAAGTTCTCGATAGTCCATCCCCAAGCCAAATCAGCACATATTCGCCATTGCACCTTTACACTGAAATTGCAGTAACGTCCTTTGCCAGCACTACCTGTGGAAACTCGCCTAGCAAGATGCCCAACACAACAGAAGCACGAACCGTAGCGCATCGTGGAACTAGTAGTTCATGGCGAACATTAAAATCAGTTGCCGGTTGCTTTCAGTGATCCAAGAGAAAGTTGTTTCCATCCTGGAGACTCCAGACTGCATGTTGACGGAGAGAGATCCTTCCAAGGCTGATGGGCCAATGATCCCTGCTCCGAGCCCACCCACTGCGCGTGGTAGCGCTTACGTGATTAGAACAGGCTACAGAATTTAGCTGTGCGGCGGGGAGGCGAAGCAGCTATCCTAAGCTTAATAACGAGCTGCGCGTTCTAATTTCGTCCCAATTTAACCCTTTGTTTATTCACCGGCTCTTCACCCAAGACAGTTCCTTAGGCAGCACCAAACGTGCAGCTCATCTCCAGATGCATGGAAATCCTTTTTCATGTGTACTTGATAAGATATGTCCTAATATGTTGTCATTTACTGCAAGACCAGAGTATCTGGCGCTGGTAATGACACGGGAGGCTTAACGAGGAAGAAGATTTGACGTCTCAGGTATTACCTCAGCGGATCATTTCTGGACGGCACAGTTCAATTATTCCACGGCGACGCGACCGAAAGACTTTCTATCAGATGCGATGTTATAGGTGATATCATCCCGATATTCCATGCAATGAAGGAGCACTTCTTTCTGCACCAACTTCTCGGGCTAAATGATGGTGAAATAAGGCCACGTCCATATATGTTCTTTCATCAAACCAAATTTTGGCTCAGAGATCTTTTATAGGTGCATCCCCTTCAGTCTTGCCAGTGCCATATTTCTTCACCTTGTTTTTGCTGGCATCCTTATCCGCAGCGAAAGCTTCAACCTCTTTACTATCCATGACCTTGATGACATTGTCCGTTTGCCACTTCTTGAACGAGAACCCAACGCCCCTAGGATATGTGATTAGCCTGATGATGGGCGGTCCCCATGTTCGTGGTGAGCTCACTCATGGCTGTAGTCCTTGTCATTGGCCTGGTCCTTGTGGTACTTAACCTGAATGAAGTCGCTGTCGACAGTGCCGGGATCCAGGCTCAGGCTGACAAGCGCATTAATCGTCGCAGTCTTTGGGATGAGCTTGAAAGTCCAGCTTTGCTCATTCCTGAACTGGATCAGGTCTCGATCGTTCTTGACAATCTCATACCCCTCGTTCACGCTCGCTTTGAAGAGCTTGGGCAAAGCAAACCACTGCCCTGCCATCTTGTATCGGTCGTTGGCATAAACAAATTGGTCGTCGTACACGCAGTCAGCCGTGTACCGCTTCACGCGCTCAACTGTGGGCTCCATTGAGTACAGCGCGATGATATCGTCGATCAGCCGCTGACGCGCTGGTGAGAGGGGGATTGACTTGGACGGGTTGGGGTGGTAGTCCTCAGTGGTCGAGGTCTGGCGGACTTCGAACTCTTCACCTGGAGTGGCAGAGGTCTTGCCCGGGAAGTTGATGTGTCCGGAGTCTGAAGACATCTTAGCAATAGTATGGAATGTACGATGAAAAGCTCTCGGGGGTCATGAACAGGCAACTGCGAAAAGTTGTTTTCTGATAGCAAATGTCGATATTCATGAGCCAAAAAGATCCCATTGCCTGTGTACATTCACTTATAAACATCTCATGAAAGCTTACTCTCAGGACACACCCCATAGTCATGACGCGCTCAACTCGCCGACAAAGACAGCCTAGGCACCCTCGGTCGTTATTCTATGATCATAACCACGTGTAATTCGTAGTCTGACGCTCGGAGAATGTGGCGGTCATGTTGATTATGTAGCGCTGACGTCAACATCTCTGTGTCTTCAGATGGGCCTCACATAGACTGAGACCCCCGTCAAGGAATGGTCCCAGTCCGAGAAATCTGAAGAACGCTGATGAATTAGATGCACTAAGACTTGAGATCAAGAATTCTAATCAAATATCAGAGCGAGAAAAGTATTCCTTCCGTTGAAGGCTACTAGATATCTTTCAGATCCACTACCTCACCTGCTCGCCAGCTCACATTCTGACCCGCATCACTACCTTCCTTCCACTTCCACCGGACAATGTCCTGCTCTCCCTTCTCTACCAGGTCCTTGATCCATTTCCCAACCACCGGAAGCATCTTGAAGCCGTGACCCGAGTCGCCTGTCGCCAGATACAGGCCCTTCTTTCCTGGCACAGCGTCGATAACATAATCAGAGTCCGCCGTATCGGCACACCAGCAGATGTGCTGGTCGACAAAAGGTCTATCAGCCAGGCCCGGAAGGGTTTCCTGGAGCAGCTTTCGAATCCGACGCACATCAGCCTCGGGTACGAAGTCGTTCTTCTCTGGAGGCGTGGACAGGCCTGTCGTCGTCGAGTAATTGGTGTAGCCTCCACCACTTGGGGAGAGCTTGAGGATGCCCGTGCCGGGTTCTGGCTCAAAGAAGAAACCCAAGTCCCGAGCGTATGTGACCGGTATTCCCTTCAAGCGCGCTGCTTCCTCCGGCTGGAGCTGTATGTGCAAGACACTCCATGCCTTTGCCGTGACTTGACGGCCGACGGACGGGAGCACGTTTCCGAGCGAAGCCCCGACCGTAAGAATCGTCGTCGCTGCCTTGAAGTCTTTGCCGGAAGTCGTGCGGGCGCCTATGCATTTGTCCCCGTCATACGTGAGGCTCGCAACATTCTCCCCAGTGTGGATTTCGACTCCCTGGGCTTTGACGTATTTATAGACTGCCTTGAGCGCATTCGCGGCATGCGCATAACCCGCGAACTGATTAAAATACCCTTCCCATCCTTCCATGGGCCCGTCCAGTGCCGGCGCAGCTTTGGCGATATCTTCTCTGTTCTTGATCGGGTTGATCCTACCAGCCCAAGCTGGATGCACCCGAATACTCTCAAGAGATTTAGCTAGGGTCTTTTTCGTCTTTTCCGGCGCTGCTGCTGAGTTGGCTAAGAGGTACCCCGTCTGGTGGTAGTGCGGCGCGAATAGTTCGTTGTCGGCCCATTCCGACATGGCCTGCAAGGCCAGCTCAGTATAGAAGGGATCTTCATATTCTGCGCGGACAATTTTGTTGACGTCGTTGCCCGCCGAGAGAGACGAGGGAACGGATGTTCCTTTCTCGAGAATCGTGATGGACTTGTACCCGGCACGGGTGAAGTGATACGCTGCTGACAGGCCAAAGGTGCCAGCGCCAATGATCAATATTGAGTCTTGCAGGTCAGGCATCTTGGCTTTTACCCTTTTCGGTTTATTGCGAACAAGAGTTCACAGTCAGAGGACTATGGCGGAATGATGTCGATTTTGAGTTCTGGGAGCCAAGTCGCATTCAGCTCCGACGTCGGATCGAGGGCCGCTCTCCCGCGCTGCTCAGAGTCAGGCCCCCCACGGCAAAGGAGTCCGAGATAAGAAGCCCACCGCGGGGAAGTGGAAACGGCGACCCCAGTCCGATGCCACATTGTCGGCGCACTCACACCGAAGCCGAACCAAAATCTTTTCTATGCCTATCGTCGCCTATCTTCAACCACATATGGTGTATGTATCTGCGGGGTAAAGAGACTGAGTCGGGCTTCCACGCTGAGGCTCATGAGTTCCGCCCCTATTTGTTATGGTCTCTCATCTGGGGTTTCGAGGCCTTATCTGCAGCTCAAAACTGAACATGCCATCAACATGTCCTAGCCCCGTTGAGGGAGTCACCACTTTCTCATCCCATCTAGAGAATCCTAAAGTACCTTTTTGTCGTGTCGTAGTAGAAGAAATATCCCGACCATGGCCTGGCAGTCACGCATACAAATACCCAGCCAAGGTTGTGAACGTACTTGCTTCCGGCCGTGTGAGCCAAGAGCTGAATGCATGCCAAGAGCGAGTACTCCATACACACTTCTACAATACTCGACCTCTTGGTTTCTTTTTTCTCTTTTCAGCTACTCTGCTGCTTCCTTCCAAGTGTTGACCATGTCTTGGATGCACAACTGCGACTGTTTGTTGAATGCGTCAGCACTATCTTATCAAATGATGTCTCTCGGCCTGTCGCGTCACGCTGGCGATTTGGAGGCTGAGTTCTTCCTGTTCCAAGGTGGCGACGTCTCTCGTTCTCCCCTTTCCTTGAATGAATCATGATCTTGCCTCAAGCAGGTCCCGGGAAAGCGAGCCTCTATCGTCGGCCTACATGTACCGATGTTCTGCACCAACCGCTCTCGGTCGCCTGGCATCATACTGCAGAAAGTGCATGAGTCACACACACGCTTACATTTATTATCCTCCGGGATTGATGTTGTCGTCCAAATGCCACAATCTACCTGTACACTTGAACTGTCAGCCCATGACTTCTCCGTCCTACTTCAGTGAACAATCCTATCAAAGTGAACCACGAATGACATGACCGGACTTGTGACAGCTGTTGCCCTGTCTTATGCCGTGTGCCGCATAAGGCAGCCCTTGTCACGTTGTTGCCCGACTCCGTGAACCCCAAGACCACCTTGCTAAGTTACTTCGAACTGTCCAGTTTTTAGCTTTCATGTCTTTGGTAACCCAAGTCGAACAAGATGTTCCGTAAGACCAAAAGAGTCCCAGCCGTCTCTCTCTGCCTGGTCTCGAAGCCATACCAGACCTATCATGCCAGCTCCATTCGCCCCTACGCCGTTTCTCCCTACAAGTCGACGCGGCACCACGCATATCCAATGTTCAGCCATGACGACATTGTAGTCGCAAACTTCCCTATCAGATGTCTGAACTTTCCTAGTTGCACAGACTAGTCTTTGGAGACTATGGTAGGCCTGCTCAGGGGTTGCTGCTTGGGGTAACCGCAACACGAAATGTAGGTTGGGAACCCCAGGGATTTCTGAATTGATCTCTGCATCGAACATTCTGTCAGCGTCCGCCTCTACATACGAATTGAAACTCAATACTTCTTGAGAGAAACGACTAGGATCAGTGATATCTTACCGGTTTCAGACGTCGCCTTCTGAGGATACAGCGAGAAGTGAGTCGGCTGAGGAAAAGTCTGCATATGCTTATGGCCCTGAGATGATCCGGCGTCGACGCCGCAATTGTAGATCATCAATTGGGGCCCCAGAGTTGGCTTGAGTGCATCCATCACAGCCCGAGCAGCCTCAACATCAACCATGTTGAGGTCTTGCGTCTGAGGCTCAAAGAGTCGGGTATATAGGACAAATGCCGGCCGATACATGCAGCAAAGATTGAGCTTCAGTGCATGATGAGATCCTACTTGCGTAACAACGAAGTCGGGATCTGGGTTCAGGAATGGCCCCTTGTCTGCTGTACGTTTGGGGTCATCTCGCTCCAAGTATGGCTTTCTTTTCAAGGCTGGACTGATGCGGAACTCGAACTGGGTAAGTCTGGTCAGAAGCGTCTTCGGAGACTGGTTACCTTCGGGGTAGAGTTACAGGCTGCCTCGTACCTCAAAATCGTTATGGGATACAATCTCGCTTTTAGATTCGCTGTAGAATAGCTTGCCCTGAGAAACCAAGTCGTCGAACATAAGTAGAGACTTTGAGCCCAGGTCTGCTGCCAACGTGATCTTTGCCGTTGCCATGTCGTCAGCCCAGCAACATCAGAAGAGATTCAACTGTATCTCCTCAGGTGTCTCGCCTCCGGATTCTGGTGAGCTCCGGGTGATGAGTTGGATGAGCGGTCTGGAAGCAAGACATTCTCCCTTCGCTCGGCTCGCGTGGGGGTTATCGGGATGTTAGTGTCCACGCCGTCTCTTTGTAGGCCGCGCTATCAGAGGACTCTCCGATTAGCAAGGCGTGCACTCAGCATTAACTCACTCACCGTAACCGTCCTACCAAAGTAGTCTATTCAGCCAGAAATGCCCGATTATGATCCGATTGAACAGAGTATCATACAAACGATGCAAATTGCTAGTTTCTATATGCTAAAAGGTGCTTCCACTCCAGGTGAAGTTTTGCTGGTTGGAATCTATGGGGTTCGTATAATAGGAATCACTGAAGATCCCATCATTTTAGGCGGCTGGGCTTAGCGGAAGACGTGCTGGAAAGTTACGGTCATGTTCCGTGCACGTATTGTGAGACTGGTGAGCAGCGAACGCTGAGTGGATCGAAAGATTTGCGGCTTAGGGAGTTCCAGTTTACCTTAGGGGCTTTTGGTTTTGTGTATCTTTTGAGATTGAATTCGAGGTAGAGAACCCATGTTCTGAAGAGGAAACCTTGGGCTCTGTTACCAATCGTTGTGAGAATTCTGTTGCTAACCTCCGGCCAGAGGTTGTAGGCATACCCACACATGTTGGAGAAGAGTGGCAATAAGCTTCATTTACCTGTGCAACTCTCTACCAACTTCCGGGATTTCTAATGGCCGAAGTGAGACGTATGATCGAATCCAATATCACGCTGGATTGATGTGTACTGCACAGTTTCTCGGGCAGTTCTAAGCGTCAAGAAATGTTCGCCATGGTGATGTCGCGCATGCATGCCAGGTCCTGGGTGCATGAGAAAGTCGGAGGGCCGCAATTTCGAAATTTCAGAGCCTCTGAATGGTGGCAACTCCCCTGCGTTTACACGTCAATCATGGTCTTCCCCATTAACCCTGCAAGAAATCACTGCCTAGTGGTCGTATGTTGGGGCTCGGCTGCGTTGCTCAGTGGATATAAATAAGCACGCAGCCTCACTCTGAGTCCCTCACTGGAGATCTCCACAGGGCTGGATGACGGAGCCATAGTGAATCTGATCCTGCAGAACATATTTCGTTTGTGTGGCGGCAAGAGTAATCTTAAATCACGACATCGAATGAAGATTCGGTGTGAAAGGAATTGTTGGCGATGAGACTGAGCGTAATTTCGCATACCGACTTGCGATCTGTATTTCAGAGCCGACGATGTATCAGCCACTGGATCGCGACACGGCAGACCACTCACCACTCAACTTCAACAAGAGCCAACAGCCCAGTCAAATTCGCCCTGTTGTACCAGACCACGGCGTCGCAAGCCTCAAGCCGAAGAAGACGTTCAAGCGGCCACCCAAGCGCCTAAGTCTCTTTCTAAAATTCAGTCTCGTCATCTCATTGCTCTTCCTCGCGGGCGCCGTCGCCTTTTTCTCATGGCTATGGTGGGCACCCCACCAAGACGTCCGCTGGCGGAAATGGGTCCTCGCCCCGAACCGGCTCCAACTGAGCATAACTCTATCCGCCGTCGTCATCCGAACTGCCATAGGCATACTGGCCACCGCGGCCACGGCCATGATTGCGTCGGCCGCGGTCGAGCGGAGGGGCGTATACCTCCAAGATATCGCCCAAGTATCGGTCGCGCGCTTCTCCAGCGATGGACCCCTCTCGCTCAGTCTTCTCGCGCTCACGAGCTCATCGCTGCAGCCACTAGTCCGCCTGGTTCTGGCGCTCTTGGCTATCACGACGATTGCTGCGCAATTTACATCCACTCTCCTTGTAGCAGACCTCGAGCAGCGCCGGGTTGTCGCTTTTGCTGATTCGGTGTCCAATGCGTATACCTTTATCCCGGGGAACCACTCGAGCGGCAAGCCGCCTGAAGCTGTCTCCGGGTATGCGCACAACTACTGGATCCAACGACCGCGACTTACGGAAACGTTCGCAGAGTACACGGGTACGGCAGCAGAAGGAGAAGGACTAGACGATACCGGACCAACAGTCAGGGCCTTCCTCCCTGTAGCATCGCAGCAGGAGCGCGAGTCGCTCCTCGAGTTCCAAGGCATGGCCAGAGTCCTAGACACGCGGTTCATCTGCATGAGGCCGCAGCTCAGCAACGTTCGCCCGTGCAACGGCACAGACGGCGTCGACATTTGCGGATCGATACGGCTCGATCCCACCGTGGACGCGGCGGCTGCGGCGGGGCTGACGTGGACGGATGAGATGAACTTCAATTTTAGTTGTCCTGTGACGGGGTACATGGGCAATCGATACGACTGGCAGATTTGCGCGTATGAGACGCTGAACTGGACGTCCTTTGACTGGTCACTTCGGAATACCACGAGGATGACGACGATGAGGATTGTGTGGGATGCGGGAAGAATCCAAGGAAATATGAGCTCTGACAGCATGGAGTCGACTGTCAAGGTGCTAAGTTCGACTGGCTCCGGCCCGTGGACGAGGGAGTCTCTGCATATCAAACTTGTTGATTCTAACACCGTTGGCAAAGACCAGTATATCAACTTCAACATGACAATGTGTGCACAGTTCTACAAGTGAGTACCCGAATTTTTTAGAGCTTGAACTGTTCCAACAGATTCTCCTGTGCTGCAGTATCTAAAAACGTGTTCTTCCTAATAGCTACCCGGACTCGATTCAGTATCTCAACGTTTCCGCAACCAGCTCAAGCAACAGGACAGAGCCAACCTACGAGTGGGATGTAGAGCGAGAGGTCTACGACACGAGTGCGGTCCGCAGACAACTTGGCGCCGTCAAAGACGCTTCATCTCTATCCCACGAAGACCGCCAAGTCCTATCCATCAGCAAAGATAGGTTAGACTCGGCCGTGACTGACGCTCGCGATGGCTCTAAATGGCAACAGTATGCCGCCGACCGTAGTCTAGAATGGTTCTTCGACCGCGTTACCTACGCCCGAATGCCCTCCATGCCCATCGCCTTCTGTCACAATTGCGCTCCCAATCTCGACTCCCAGGACGGCACCAGCGATGTGATCTACGAGCGGCTTTTTGGCGATACCATCGACGAGACGGGATCGCCGGCTCGCGCGATGCAGGCTGTTTACTTCACCCTTGCCCGACTTGTCTACTATGACTTTCTCAGCGCCTTTTCTCCCAATACTGCCGTACCTGGGATGGACACTGCGGATGTGGTCACGTTTGAGCTGACTTCGATACCATGGCGATTCAGGGGTTATCTAGCCGTCGTAGGGATAATTCTTGTCTTCCTGGCCTCATTTGCTGCGGCTGCGGTCCTGTTCAGGTCTACGCGATACAGCTTGCCTGAGAATGCGTGGCATACTGTAGCGCAGATCTCCGAAAGCCCCGAGCTGGCAGACTTGCTTCACGACGCGAAGGTTGCTACTGATGGCGATGTTGGACGTTTAGCAAAGGCCTCCAAGTCTCAACGTTTCGTGGTGCGAGATGGTGTCTTCACTCAAGCTTCGGGGGCTGGTCTGGATGTGGAGCTGGAGTCGAATCAGTCCCGCCGTCGACTGACAACGCACGAAGCGGTTTCGTAACACACGATGAGAGGCTCTCAATGGATGGGAGTTCATCACCAGATAGCGTAGGAGTAATAATGTGAAATAACAAAAGAATGAGTCGAGATTTCTGCGTAACTTCACAGAGCCTTTGTCGCCTCTGTGGCAGACTTCTTCTGGCTTTCCTGCCCATCGTCACTCTGGACATCCACCTTCTCCAACGTAGCAACACTATCCCCAGCTTCCCTCAACGACTTCCAATTGAGACCAAAGTCGAGAATATCGGGATACTTGCGGACATACCACAACATCCCGAGGATCGAAGCGATACTCCCAACACTAAACGCAGCCGCCAGCGGGAACCCGATAGGGTACCTCGGCGAGTCCGCCGTCCTCCATGCCCGCAGCGGAATAGTAGCATGCCCAACATACACAAGCGTCACCGCGAGTCCAACAATCACCGACCTCGCCTCAGGCTCCTTGCGCAAGATGATCGCAAGCCACGCGAGCAGCGCGTACCCCCACGCCGCAGTCGCATACGTCAAGAAGTAGAATGTCATAATCGTGCCCCTTCCACCGGGCCAGGCCGCCAGGACAGAGGTAGCCACGAGCTGAAGCAGCGCCGCGCCGACGGCAACCTGCCACCGCCAGTCCTTCCAATCGCTCAGCGCGTTGAGAGATATATTCGCCACGATGGAGATCGCGTAGCCGCCGAGCGGGATCAGGTTAACGGTGTACACCGAGTACAGCGCCGTCGTGCCGTCCGCGGCCTTGAGACCCTTGAGGTAGAGCAAGAAATACGAGTTTGCGCGTTGAGACCAAGCGAACTGCAGGTATGCCGCGAGGAAGAGGTACGTAATAGGCGAGGTAAAGAGTTTTCGCACACGAGACCAGAGGGCCTTGCCCTTGATGACCTCCTGTGTCGTCGTCCCTGACTTCCTCATACGTGAAGCAGCGAGCACACGTTCGTCCGCGGTGAGCCAGAGGGCGCGGGTTGTGGTCGGCGCGTCGGGGATGACGAGGAACCCGTAGAGACCCCAGACAATGGTCATGATACCCGAGACAACAAAGAGCCACTGCCAGCCCTCGAGGCCGTGTGCGCCGTTGAGGTTCTTGTAGAGCGCGGCCTGGAGGATGCCGAGGAACATGCTCCCCGCCTGGCTGCTCACGCCAAAGATGGCGAGGCGTTTACCGAGTTCGGAGGGGGTGTACCAGTTAAAGATGAGGTTCACGATACCCGGCCACGACGTCGCCTCAAACACGCCCAGGAAGAAGCGCAGGACAAATACGGTTCGGGCGTTCTTGGCGGCAAATGTCGCGAGGGTGATGGCGCCCCAGACGACTTCGCAGAATGGAAGCCAGAGGGACGGGCGGACGCGGGTTTGGATGAGTTGGGAGGGCACGATGAAGAGGGCGTAGCCGATGGAGAAGTAGGTTGTGAACTCGACGAGTTCGTTGCCGTAGAGGGAGAGGGCTTCTTGCATGCCTGAGACGTAGGCTGCTGTTGTTGCGGACTGGTCCATGTCCTTCATGAGGCCGGCGATGAAGGCCCATGTTAGGAGGAGGATGTCGAGTTTGAGGACTAGGACGTGTTCTGCGTCTTCAAAGTAGGGGTGAATCTTGGCTAGCCATGGGATCGAGGGCTTCGTGAGGTTTGGGCTGGCTTCCGCCGAGGCCGCTTCGGGCTCGGTCTTTGTCATTGTTGATGATGCCTCGTGGTGTAGCTCGGATGGATGACGTTCAGGTCTAGAATGTTTCCTCGGGCAGGCTTTCGATGGCCATGCAGGTGTTTAAGCAGTGGCTTTCAGGGTCGTATTTGAACTCGATCATTCAATCGACATTCGCCATTGCCGTATACCAAAACTATTCCCTGAAGCGGACAGATGCCGACAAGACGTCGGGACACACCGACGCTCAAGAGAGTCCTTCGATAATACTGGGCAAAGGGTCAGATGGCAACATCACCATCTTTCATGATGAAATGGGGAAAACGAAGGAACAGAATCGGGAAAAATAACAAAAGATTTGGGACGGATCAGCTGCTTTTTTGGCAGAAATTCAGACGAACCGTTAGCCAAAACTCTGTTTCTCGTTGCCGAGTCGTAGCGTTCCATGGGCTATCCCAGCTCCGGGGAAGCGTCCGCCGGCGGGCAGGGATACAACGTAAAATGTCGCCATTTCGCCGGCTTATGCCGTGACGCGTCGGTCTCCCGCCGAGTGGTAAGATGAGAGCCTATCCTGCGTCTACGATTCGACTGTTCACCTCGCGGTGATTGTAAACCGCAAGCACGTTTGTCGGGATGATGCCGATCGAGTGAGACGGGACCTGACGCGATAATACCTAATTGAGTCTCGTCGACATTTGAGAAGGGCTATATACATACATCGACAGCAGGCGACCGGCAGATTCTACAGCGAAAGATTGCGTGCTTCGCCATTCCCACTATCATTCGCTGCACGTATTCAAGTCCAGCCACCATGTCGACCGAACCATTGTACCCAGCCTACCTCCCCACCAGGCCCGACGGCTTCCAGCCGACAATCGACGTGCCGTACTTTGAAGCCGAAGAACCTGGTGTCCGAGCCAAAGCCGCGCGATCCGCCTCCTCCGCCTCCTCCATCTTCCGGGACGGCGGCGGCGCCAAAGTGGAGAACATCACACCCCGCGTCGGCGCCGAAGTCCGGGGTATCCAGCTTAGCCAGCTCTCCAAGGCCGGTCTGGATGAGGTCGCGCTGCTAGCGGCCGAGAGGGGTGTTTTAGTTTTTGTAGGTCTTCCATCGCGGATAGAGAGTGATGATGGCCACGCCATCGCCAGGTGAATGGATAATAACGCCGGTCTTTCTAGAGAGATCAAGACTTTGCAGACATTAGGTTTGAGAGGCAAAAGGAGATCGTGAGGCACTATGGCCCTCTACACAAGGTACGATTGACAAGCCCCCTATAGCTTGAACGCATTTGCTGATCTGCTTGCCCTTCTTCCCAGCACCCCACGATGGGATACCCAGAAGGCACAGGTCCAGAATTCCACGTCGTCTACGCAGACGAGAAAGCGTAAGATCCCCTATCCTCGCGTCACATCTCATATAGATATATAGCAACATGTACTCATCACTCACACTCATCGCAGAGGCAACCTCCGCACCCTCCTCGGTCCCCGCACAACCTACGACCTCTGGCACATAGACCAAACCTTCACCCCAAACACCCCCTCAACGACCTTCTTCTGGGTCCTTGAAACGCCCGCCTCAGGCGGCGGCGACACGGCCTTCACATCCCTAACAGCAGCCTACGCGGCCCTCTCCCCAGCCTACCGCGCCACCCTCCGCGGCCTGCGGTTATTCCACACCTCCGCTTCCGTAGGTGAAGTCGCGCGCGTGGGCACGGAGCGCGCGCTCCGCGAGGCCGTCTCCACGACGCATCCGCTGGTGATCCGGCACCCTGTAACGGGCGAGCCGAGTTTGTTCGTGAATCCGACGATTTCGAGGCGGGTAGAGGGTTTTTTGCCCGAGGAGTCGGATGCGCTGTTGGGGTTTCTGCATAATCATGTCAAGAGTTTGGATTTCAGTTGTCGGGTGAGATGGGAGGCTGGGTCAGTTGTTGTGTGGGATCAGAGGAGCGTTGCGCATAGCGCGGTGCCGGATTTCAGGGAGGGGGAGAGGAGGCATATGGTGAGAATCATACCGTATGGATCGAGGCCTGAGCCTGCGTTTCCTGAGGAGCACCAAGCCAGTCGAGAGAATGGAGAGGTGTAGTGAATATTGGTCTACCTAGTGATCCGCAGCTACATGGAAGAAGTCGATAGAAACTTTACCATTTGATAGGTCACACAATTCGAAGTATGGGCGGAATAGTATCTCCATACTTCAGGATACGGACGCGTGTTGTCTACGTAGACAGTATACAGTCACTTGGCTTGCGAGGGATAGCAAAACCTCAAATCACCTTGCCGGGTTTCTTCATCAACCCCGCACTCTCGATTCTTGTGCCCAAAGTTGAGCCTCACAAAAGGCTGACAGGGATCTAGCATGGATGGGATGGGGTGAGCAGAGTGCGATGATCATACGCATCCAGACCGATTTGGAGTGCGACATAAGTGCGATAAGTGCGGTGAAAGTGCGACGGCAATGCCATTCGTCAACCCCACTACTGTCCCGCTCCCGTGCATGAAGGAGTGTGTCGCACTTACAAGTGCGATGGCCAACCCCGGTCTGCATGACAGCCTTACGAGTATCATCGTGAATAAGTGTAAGCCCAGTCCGTTGTCCCAAGCTACTTGACCTTCAACTAGAACAGACTTGTTTTCTAGCTTGACGGGCGGTCAAAGATCGATCTTCACTAGAGTTTCAATGGCGGTCAACCCGGCTCCCAACATCGGATCGCCGGTTGGACCACCTCCTGCGCCTTTGCCCTTCAGCTTGCAAACGTCGCACGATGTGAGCGACATTCAAGAAGAGTCCAACAAACGAAAGAAACCACCAAGGAAACTGGACAGTGAAAAGTGCCAGCTTTGCAGACAACACAAATTGAAGGTATCTCGGTCCTCTTCCAAGCGCTTACCTTGCCCCGCCTGTACGGCAGAGCGCTTATGGCTTCGGTCAGAAAATTGCTGACAAGCGAGCTGCGAAGTGCCTTCCTCAACCTCGAACATGGCCGCAAAAGTGCGATCGCTGTTTGTCGAAAGGCCTAGAGTGTTCACCTGGCGAAGTCAAGAAAAGGACACGAAGACGGGCTCCAGGCGAAGAAGAGCCTGAAAGCATGATGAGTATCCCGAGCGACCGGGGATCCCACGGCCAAGATCATGATGGCTCTAGCACTTTTTGGAACTGCGAAGATCTGTAAGGCCCATGTCAGCTTCTTTCTTGAGTAGAGGCTAATCATATGAGACAGTATGGATATACTTACCGCAGTCCAGCTTCTGAACAGAGTATACGAAGTCCATCATCACCAGAGAACCTCCTTGCTAGATATTCTCGATTTCCAAAAGACTCCCTGCCAAAGCAATGGACCTGGGACTCAGGCACAGCTCGATGTGCCCTACGTCTCGGGCCTCCATCAGACCTTACCACTTCTCAAAGACAGGATATCGATCGCCATCAAGACGAGACTCGGTCACGGCAAAACTACGTGTTTCGCGGAGAGGATGTTGTTTGAGAATACTCTCAGTGAGCTACACAGCAATTTGCCGAAGCGTCCGATTATTGATGGCCCTGTCGAAACCCATAAACTACTCATACGCGAACAGATCTCAGACCTGATGTTTCGGTCCAGGTCAAGCATGTCGGAGACCATTACGTTGAAAGCGATAGTCTCACTATCCACCACACTTTCTTCGAGGCTTCCGATACTTTTGAAGAAATTTGATCTCTACGACTGGTCTTACGTTGAACAGGGCTTCGGCCCTGAATGGGAGAAGTTGGTCCCCCATGCGGTTGTTGGGTGTCTCCTCTTCGCTCCGGGCGATCTCTACTCAGACTCGCAGCCATATGCCAAGATCTGGGCTCACGACATTCTGGTGAAAGAGGGCGCGAAGTACCCCATAGTCGCAAGGGATCTCGCCCTCATCCCTCCCAAATCCAGCAGCTGGTCCCTGAAGGAGCTTGCCTTCCTCACCGACCACGTCGGACCGGACCTCAAGGACAGTCAAGGGCTGACTCTCGTCCACGCCGCTATCTTGGACCGCAGGCCGGACATTGTGCATCAGCTTCTCGAGCCGGGAGGCGCCAAACCGTGGCACCGAATATTCAGGAGACGGTTCTCCCTTTTTCATTTCGCAGCCTCGGTGGGATGCGAGTCGTGCTACGCGGAGTTGCGCTGCCACCCAGAGATCCGGCCGGCGGAGGAGACGCGGGACCGGAACGGAATGCTGCCCTTGCACGTCGCTGCCCTTCGCGGGCAAGTGAACGTGGTGGAAGCTATTCTCAAGGCGCATTTTGACGGAGCGGAGGAGAATGAGGAGTACGTGAATCGTGAGACGTCAGAAGCTGGGCATACTGCTTTGTATCTCGCGATAGCGCGGGCCGAAGATGATGCTACAGCTAGATTCTTGGCAATGTACCCCGGCGTCGACTTCCTCGTGGATCGTCAGGTACGGCAGACAGCGCTTCATGTTGCGGCGTCTCGCAAACGACACGGTCTATTGCGGTTTCTCCTTTCTCGAGCACCCGAGCATCAGCTCAATGTGCAGAACGAAGACGGTGAGACGGCATTGCATATTATTGCCCGGCATGGTGACCGAGAAACATTGAACGCTGTCTTGGACCTCCCCTCAATTGAACTTGACGTGACGGCCAACGACGGATCAACACCACTGGTTGATGCTGTGACGAACGGGAACATGGAGGCGATGGAAGCCTTGATCGGCTGCCCGGGTGTGGATATCACGGCGTTACGGCGGCCTTTGGAGCCCTTTGGGTTTTCTGCACTGGAGCATATTTTGCAAGAGGCAAACGGCAACGATGGTTCTGGGGGGTACGTCGATATTCTAGAGTGCTTGCGAGTGCGTTGTCCCGAGCTAGAAGACGATCTTTATGAGGCTTCAATGGCTGAGATGGAGACGGATGACGGTGATATGGAGGTTGAGTAATTGTACGAGGTGATATCATCCCGAGCAAGGCGGCTCTAGGCTGGCGAGGGAGGTGCTACATAGCTTCGCACTGCAATAAGCCATACTTATGACTGTCAGCGTACTATCCTCGAGAT